GGACCCGAACTCTCGATCCTTTGGTCCCAGATCACTACGGCATTACTCCCTTAGCGACCTCGGCTATCTGGACCAGTTTGTTTTACTTTAGTGTTCCATATAAATCTATTAAGGTGGTCTTAACAACACAAACTTACTCGGTCAGTTTCTCTATTATCAGGTAATTCATTAGGATGAATATGACCTACCAGGACCAGCAGACCATGTTTATTCATCATTGTCATAGCCTAACACATGTGTGGCATTAACAAGTAAGGTCAATTCTCACCTTCTTGAAAAAACTTCACTTGACACTTTGTAAGAAGGAATTTTGAAAACCAGTTTTCCTGATACATATAACTTATTTTTTTGATAGCAAACTGTAATTTTGCAACTTTTCAAGAATGCTGGTTGTATCAACCTAAATGTGCACTTCTTCACTTCTTCTGCAATTGTAGATTTTTATAAGAAAATGCAAATACCAATAGTATTGATATTATTGTAAGGCTATCAGTGGTTACTAACTTCACAGCAAACATGCATGTTCCAAGAATTCCTGTTAACACAACTGACTCAATATATCAGAGAAAGAATGCTACTGTTTCAGGCAGACGCTATCCCTGTCAGTTGAGTAGAAATAAACCTGATAGTCCCATTTGGTAAGAAGACGTCCGATTTGAGACAGCATATTTCTGTGATTCGCAAAATGACATAAGTCTCATGATTGCTTCATTTTTGGACTTCATGGTACATTGTGTCATTGAGTGTGTAGTTTAAGCAAACCAGTACAGCGGGTAGCGAAATGCGCAGAAGTACAAAAGTATTTGTTTAAATTAATCTAAATGTCAGCCGAATGTAAAATTTGCATTTTAAAAATTAAAATAAATTTTAAATATTTAAATTATATGTCTGCAAACATTATATTTACATCTTTTTAAGTTTAAATTAGGTGTAATATAATTTTTCTGAAGGAAATAATATTTGCGCAAACAAATTATAAACATTAGAGTGTGTAGGATTCTTCGAAAAACAAAATTGGTAATATATCTGAAAGGTGTTGGGTTAGAATAAAAGAAAAAATATGAGTCACCTATTTTCAACCCTACACCTCATAAAAAAAGTTTCAAGTAGCTAAAAAATAGAGATGTTTTGTGAGTGTGTGATTTGACGTGGAATGACTCTATAGTGATACAGAACTAAGCATTATTAGGAACTTATCATTAATTAGTATTTAAATACTCAATACAAGGAACAACTTCTCAAAAATGAGGGTCAAACAAACTCTCATATTAAAAAGCCATTACAAGGAATAGTAGAGAACACAACATACTAATTTTTAAAGGTTTTCTTTAAACTGGATTTCATGGTCCTCTAGAGGTCTCAAGCAATTTTTGGGAGACCCTGAAAAAACCAGCAGGTGAAATTTTGGGTTATTTGTGATTGTGGCTACTAGATGCCACATCTCATGAGAGAATCCAATTTAGTTCCTCTGATATTTGTTATTGTAATTGAGGCACACTGTGGTCTTGGAATCTAACAATGATGATTACATCCAAGAAATCTTTTGAATTTTGTGAAGAGTCAACTGTTAATGATTCTTGTGTTCCAGGTACATTATTCTACATCCATTTTTTATACATATTATAACTATATCTCAGATCTCCAATAATTTATTTCTCAAAAAGTTTGTCAAAAACAATCCTCAGTGCTAATTGCAGTTTAAATAAAAAATTTGCAAAGCAATCTAATATATTGTAAAGAAACCTCTGTACAAGAATTATTGTAATATTATTGTAATTTGTGTACCAGAAACAAAATCAATTCCAAGATGTATACTTGGTATTGCTGTATTTTGCATAAGCAATTTCTTCGACTATCTGACCGCAACCTCACTCAAAGCTGTGAATCAGCTGTCCCACATTGTAGATTTACTGCATGTAAAAGATCCCCAAGTCTTTCAAAAGAATCCTTTGGATTTTAAATCCAGTTTAAGAATTTAAAATCCAGTGTTTTGTCACCCAGCGATACCTTCTTTCTCTGCTCGATGGTGAAAGGAGCGAAGCGAAATTTATGTTATCAGACAGAAGAGCAGGTATAATGACCCGAGTCCTGCCACGTAAAATACGGCATTGAATGGAATCTCCAACGTACCTTGAAATGTCCCCGCCTTCCCCTGCTTCACAAGGTCTCTGAACTCTTCCAGCCTTTTCTTTTCCGCTTCCTCACTGTCTTCTTCGTCTTCATTGGAGCTGCAGTTTTCACTGCTACATGATGCCTCCTCCTCGCTCTCCTCATCCTCGCGTCCAGTCACCAATTCAAACTCCGGTAGCAACCACAGGCATCGCATCGACTTGCTTTCCGGCTTCATTATGCCTGTAGCACAAAGAACAATGAAGAATTATAACCACTAGTTCCAGCAATTATCCATCCACCCCCACAGTAAACTTACAAAATCAATCTCATACAGCCAGATTAAAATAAGAAATGTGACTAACACATGTATAGTAGAACTTCAATTATCAGAGTTAATTTTGGGACAAAGAAGAAACCTTAATTCACAATTTAATTTGTAATTACTTTTTTAGTGCATCTTACAGTATACACATTTCCGTACCTGATGATTGTTAAACATAATGTTATTAATTACAGTAATGTTTTTTCTATGCCTTGGAACTTTTTAATTTGCTTCTGAGCTTAATCTAATCATTCCAATTCCTGCCAAGTCAAATCACCCTTCACCATTTAATTGAGACTATTTAGACCCGTGTAAATGTTCCCTATTATGAATGCAAATCTTGCACCAAAAAAACCAACTTCAAATATTTTGCTGAGCCATGTCACAGAACGAAAACTTACTAATACAAGGACCAAAAATGTCTTGATTTATACATTACATCTTAAAAAACTCACTTATTTTCCCTATTGAAACATGAAAATCTGATTTTAAGGGCGTAGGATACTTTGTTTCTGAGTTATGCGAAATGAAAATGTGTTGCAGTAGATTATGTGTTGTGAGTTGCACTTGCTCCTGTACCTATTTCACAATCTCTGATCTATTTGTTATGGTCTCAAATCCATTTGATGTAGTCGGGGAAATTCCCTCTCCAGCAAGAGCATACTCATGGGGTTTTGTAACAATGATTTCTTAATCTTAACCATTTTCTTTTACAAATAAAGAGGAGAATTGAAATGCTACCATTCATAACCAATCACCGCACTAATCAATTAAATACAGTGAAACCTACCTTTGGGCAAGATAACTTCTTTTCGAGACCAGTTTCTAATGGAAAGGAACAATTACTCCATAAGACCAATTTATGTTTACCTCCCTTAAAAACGGCTGCCCACCTTCCCGATCAATGACCATGAATTTTTGCCGTAACGTAACATCGCATTCCCTTTAAGATGACTAGAAAAACCTAGTACTGAAATAATAAATCCAAGACTTCACATACTACTGTGAGCCAAGTAATTTCCATTGTCTTTCAGATAAGCAGCAATCAGGCAGCATGCGATATCTTGATAACTCCAAAGGAGAGACCCTCCAGGAAATGTAGAGAAACTATCACATAATAAAGTTGAAAGATAATTTCACAGAAGCGAAATAATACCCCTGGATTATGATAATCAGGAGCCCATCTTATGTCTCTAACGCATTTGAAGCAGGACAATTCTTAAAGAACACTGTACTATTCTTTTTGAAATCATATTAGAAAATTCAGTTGATAAAAGCAATATAATCATGCAATACAATAAAGCTTTCATTTGAAACCAAGTTGCAGTATAATGCCAATAATAGTACTTGCAGTAGTAGTAGTAGTAGAGTACAGTTTATAGTACGATGTAATCTTTAAGAAGACCACTCCTCTACAAGCAATTTTGAAATACTAATTATGTGGTCAGCTTAAAGGGGTTTCACTGAATTCGACTAAGTAACTAACTAAATAAATAACAAACTAATATTAAAATTGATGAAGAAAACTTTCAAAAAACAAACTCCTCTATGCTCTTTTTTCATCAGTACAAACAGAATATACTACGTGCTACTTTTCTCAGAATAAATAAAATCTTGACATATCACTACTATAAACTGCCAAAAATGGGAAAGTGAGATTTCTGTTACTTCATATGTCAACCTTCATTACTTATTGTGTTCTAATATACATGCAAACAGGGTGTTGATGGTTTAAATCACATGATTCATAAAAAATCATTGATTTAAAACAAAAATATAATCTATGTAAATTTTACAAATAATATTTAAAAATTTGAAGGTCAAATAAAAGGAAAATATAGCCAGAAAACTAAAGAGAAAATAGTAGGGGGGGGGGGGGAGTTCGTGCCAGCCAAAGTGCATATTTACATTAACCCTTGCAAAAGAGAATGGTGTACATTCGTGTCATTTTCAAATGATGAAAAAGATGCTGTCATTTAGGATTTCTATAAACTGAATAATTATAATACTCAAAATGCATATTTATATAACAAAATAATAACATATATATCAAGAAGAGACAAGAGAAATGGCCAGAATTTTATTCAATAAGAGCCATGATTGGTCGCAATTGGATGGATGCAAACTTTGAAAAGCAACATGTCCTTGCACGATTCTCAGTTCACAGCATTCATCATATGCTTTGTAGAAACGATTTACAAGCCCAATGAGTACTACAGATGCAAACTCTGACCTACGATGTTCCTGCTATCACATAGAGCAATGCTTGAACAGAGTACAATCAATCACAAGAGTATGCAACCATCAAATGATTGGAAAAGTGAAGAAATAATAAGTGTATATAGTAAAATACTATACAAAGTGAAATGAATGTTAGTGCATTGTTCAGCTGTAATAATTATAATTATAATTTTTATTAAATGCATATTTATTTCATCGTATTAAGTCTTTTTCTTACAAAAGAGGGTATTTAAAGGACAGAACAAATGTTGGTGAAACACAATCGTAAACCACAAAAAAATGTAATGAGATATTTTTTCTCCTTATTTGGAGAAAGTTGCCTTGAAAAGTATTCCATTAAGATTTTTCTGATTAATGGTTTCTGAATTATTTATGAAAGTTCTCGTAAAACCCTCAGTAAATATCTCAGAACTAGGTCAATGTGAGGTAGCCCTATTGTTTTACTGATCTCCTCAATTCTTTGTTGTTTTTTTAGATATCTACAAATTTTACCTCATGTGAATATTTTAATTTAAATAAATACAATTTGATATTTGATTTATTTAAAAAAATCATGATTTTTATTAACCCCTATGCAAAACCACTTCATATAGTTTAATTTCTAATACCACTATCTTTACGATTTATTATTGTAAATTCTTATTTTTCTGCAGTTTGTGTATTTTCTCATTCCTTAATTCGTAACAGTTATCTTTTGATGACATTCCGTTTTATTTAATTTTTTTTCATCAGAGCAGCAAGAAGTGCATGAAATGACTTCTGTAAATTGTACTGTATACTAGACTTCAGCCGGTTTTATTTCCTACTTCTCAAAAGAAAAAAAAGAAGAAGAAAGGGACATGGAAACACTTTACGCTTCACAAATTCTTATATAAATTTTTCAGGAAAAATTTTTATAGCCAAATATAAGCATTAGGCAGGTACATTTTATAAACTACAATTGGTCAATATAAGTGTAAAAGTCTTTTAACTGAGAATTTTTTAAATTAATTTTTTTTTTTTCATTTTGCCAATAAAAGAAAATGCTTCAGAACACATACATTTTTTGGGTTAGCGATCTGTTCTTTTGAAAAGGTGGTGCTTTTTAGATTTAATTTAGTTTTCTATAAGATAACTACATTCAACAAACATATAAGAAAATCTAACAGGAAAGTGTTGGTGCAGGTTATTCAATTATTTTAGTAGACACTGTGTAGTTGTGTAGACGAAAATGGAGATTTTTTAGAAGTGTGACTGAACAACCTTCATTGAATGTCAAAATCAGACACATGGGTTGGAAGGAATAGTTAGGCCCTAATTTTAAAGATTTACGTTCTGAAATCTGATAATAGGATTAACATTCACATGCATTAAATTGAATGTTCAAGATATCAAGAGATGTAAAAATAGGATTTGGTCAATTAACACAAACTATAAAATGCCCATTATCTTTCCACCGAACAACAAAAATATACTGAGTTCAAAAATCAACTATTGGAGGAAAATAATGCATATAATACACTAAATTACCTGATCGACACATTTCTTTATGACCAGTCTTCCAGTCAACAATTTGGTGTTGCCTACTACAGTAATTAACTTTCTTACATCGACCACAGTGACTAGTTCCTTTAGCACCACATACTATGCATAATTTGTTGTAAGAATCTGCCTTCAAGTCTGGTCTCCAATTTTCATCATCAATGGGTGGATCAAAAGGAAAGAAATCATTTCGCCTGCCAAATTGACATCGAAACACTTTGAATGTCCTATTCTCATTTTCTTCACAGCAATCAGCATCCACACACAAGAATATAAAAATTGTTCTGTGAAAACAGCTTTCCAAATCTATCCATGGTGCATAAACTTGACATAAAAACATGCAGGGATTTTGACATTTTGGGCACTTCAAATCTTCATTACTAGGCAAGTTTGCTAAATCCAACCATGCTGGCTTTCCACCAACTTTACTTGGAAAGAAACGACTTTCCAACTTCCACGATTCTGTTTCCTCAAGATACCCTATTGCTACCACATGTGTATCATCACTCATTGACTCCATTTTCCAAGTTCTACTGAGCTGTCAGTGGTACCTTAAGCAATTAGATATCTCACATGTTCTAGGATGTGAGAAACTACCTCTCTATTTCTTAATCACACACAAGATTCACCCCTTGCTTTTGTTTCTTGCAAAGTGAAAAATATTTATTCGCCGACATTCAATAACAAAATTATGCATACTCTGTGCGCGATGGAATGGATAACCTTGTGCATTTATACCAACTATACCTTACTCATTGTGATTCGTGGTACCAACATTGAGAAATAGTTTTCTTCTGAATTGTTTGACAATATGTCGTCGCCGGCACCGAAATCACCTGAACAGTCGGAAAAAAATAAGAAATACGATAGACAATTAAGACTTTGGGGCGATCATGGACAAGCAGCACTAGAATCAGCTCACGTGTGCCTTATCAACGCCAATGGTTTGGGTACAGAAATTCTGAAGTCTCTTATACTTCCAGGAATAGGAGCATTCACCATCGTAGACGGAGAGAAGGTTACCGAAGAAGATATTGGGTGTAACTTCTTTCTTGACCATGATAGCGTTGGAAAATCAAGAGCTCAGGCGACCATTCAACTTCTTCTAGAATTAAATCCAGATGTTAGGGGTGATTATGTTGATGAAAGTGTGGAACAAGTCTTGGAAAATAACCCTGATTTCTTCAACAATTTCTCTGTTGTTATAAGCACTCAGATATCAGAGAGGGTCATTATAAGATTGTCTAAAAAACTCTGGGAACTTGAAATTCCCTTCATTGCATGTCAGAGTTATGGCTTTATTGGTTATGCCAGAATTCAAGTACAGGAACATACCGTCATAGAGACACATCCTGATAATGAAGTTCCGGATTTACGCCTTGATAAACCTTTCCCTTCTCTGAAGGAATTAATAGACAGCATTGACATTAGTAAAATGGAGTTGAAAGATCATGCTCATGTCCCCTATGTCGTAATTCTATACAAGTGCTTACAGCAGTGGCAACAAGAAAATGAAGGTCAAATCCCTAAAACATATCGTGAGAAGGAAAGCTTAAGGAAGCTGATTCGAGCTGAAATACTCAATAATGATGATGGTATTCCACATGATGAGGAGAATTTTGAAGAGGCAATTAAAGCAGTTAACACATTGGCTCCCACAAACATACCATCACATGTGCGAGAAATTCTTGATGATGAATCGTGTATTAATCTCACATCCAAAAGTAAACCTTTTTGGATTATGGCAAAAGCTTTGAGAGAATTTGTTGAAAATGAAGGAGCTGGCGCATTACCTTTGAGAGGCACTCTTCCAGACATGACAGCTGACACAGAACGCTACATCCATTTGCAACAGGTATACCATAGTCAAGCAGCCAAAGATGCAGAAGTAATGTTTCGAAGAGTACAGCAGCTGCTAAGAGAGATAAACCAATCGCCTGATAGCATAACTGAGAAAGATGTAAAATTATTTTGTAAGCATACTAGTACAATGCATCTAGTCAGAGGATCCTGCATTGCAGATGACTATGACAATAAGATTTTTGCTCAGAAATTAGCTCCTCACCTTGAAGACCCTGAAAGTGCCCTTGTGTACGCAGTGCTTTTGCGGGGTGTTGATCGCTTCCGCATAGCGCATGGCACTTACCCTGGAGAATATGATGACCAGGTGGAACCAGACATTGTGAAACTGAAATCTTGTGTGTCAAAACTCTTAAATGAGTGGAGCTGTGGGCCCTTGGCTAAGGATGACTATGTTCATGAAATTTGCAGGTATGTGTTGACACTTAAAATTTATTTTTATATTAATATTATTCTATTAATTTATATAATATTTATTTCCACACCCTTTTTAGTCTGTCTTAATTAATTATGATTTTATGAAGGGTTAGGGTCCATGACAGACGAATTCTTGTAACCTTAATTTATTCTATAATTGTGCAAGAGTTTCGAGGATTGTTGTCCCCATCATCAGACTGTAAAATTTAATTTTGAAATTTTATAGCACAAAATTTAAAATTATTTACAATACAGTATTAAAATTGAGAAATTATGATAGGAAAGAACTTACCTTCTTACTGGTGCTTTCAAAATCTTCCCCCTTTTAATGTTTTACTTCCCCTGACTCTCAAAACTCATTATTTCAACCGCTCCAACCAACGTATGAAATTGATTTTGTCTGTGTAGCGACCATTAGCCGTAGAATGTAATGTTAAAATCATCTGTTTTATGAGTTCTCGTGTGTCTGGTTAGTTCTTTCCTGTCATGATTTCTCAATTCTAATATTGTTTTGTAAAGAATTTTAAATTTTGTACTACAAAATTTCGAAATTCAATTTTACAGCCTGATGATGGGGACAACCCTCAAAACTGTTTGCACAATAATAGAAAAAATTAAGGTTAAAAGAATTTGTCTGTCAAAAAATATGGACCCTAACCTTCACAAAATCATGGATTTATAATACATAGTTGCATGTACTCATTGAAGGATAAATTATGTTTGAATTGATTCAGATCTCAAAAAGGAAATTGCCAATGCTAAATGGAGAGAAGTTTTGAATTGTTCATTGTTTTATAATTTGAAGATACAATGCTTGTGTGCCTAATGTATTTAATGTTTTTTATAAATTTTAAAATTACACTGTTTAATATTGTTCATTGGGTGTACTCAGCAGTAAGTAGTACTTTTATATCGCACCTAATAAAAAGGGCGTCAGTAAAATTCATTTTGTGAGAATTTTTAATAACAGCATTTACATTTATATACTTTTGGATTTCTCTTTGTATGATGATAATAAGAGAGTACATCACAGAATTTAGATATTTTTAAAAATTAATCAGTGGTGTTAATCCCATTTTGAAACAAAACTTTTACTGTTTATTTGATCTGGATGAAATACAAGGGGCAGAAATATTAGAGATATCCATAAAGCATCTGCAATTTAAATATCTCTTATGAGATTTGATCAGCTGGGTGCTGTTATTTGAAGCCTCCAATTGGATAACTGCGTCCCAGCTGATTAAACATCAAAAGTCACTAAAATTAAATTGGAGAGCTTCATGAAGTTATTACACAAAAAAGTACATTGATTGTTTTCCTATATTGTTCTGTGCAAATATATTTTTTCCACATAACTTCTCTATTCTTCAGACATGTGTGTCTGGTACCAGTTCTTATAAACACTTGCCACAAAAAGTTTCACCTGTGAGACAAACCATATAGAATTGGATGTTGAATATTTAACCTCTTAGTCTCCGTTTGGGGTCTTTTATGACCCCAGGAACAAATGTTTTGTAACATTCTGAACATTGTTCACATAAACCTTCACCTTTTAGATGTACAATTGCATCCAATTTTACGTATATTGTAATCTTGTCAGTTTTCTAAGTTTGATTTTTTGTTGAAAATAATTTGATTTTTATGCAGTTGGAGTCAAAAATGCTAATTTGAATCTAAACTTGAAGGAAAATTCTAAAAACATGTCCATTTTTATTTTATAATAATGGTACGGCTTCTCAGTGATAATTCAGTGTATTCAATCTATTACAATTTGATACCCTGTTTCAACCATTCCAATGCTGGTAAGATAGACACCTATGTATAGTAATGAGGATATGCGAAAACGCTTTTTCCAGAAATTATATTATTCTTTATTTAGTACAGTATGTAAATAAAGTAAATAAAATGCATATTTTTCTCAATAATTCCAAATGACATTCTTGCCTCAAATACTTGTATATTATTGCATAAAACGTTTGGGGGTCGAAAGTAACCTTTAACAGAATCAAAGAGCAAAGATGCTTTTACAGCAAATAACAATATAGAAAATAAAATAGTAACATCTCATTGTTGTTGAACTACTAACCAGGAAGAGTGATTGAGATTGATGAAAATCATATGGAGCAGGGTCTGGGCTGTAAAGAGTGTAACTGGACCCAGCCAAATTCTTATGGGAGTTGTAAAAATGCCCGGAACTAGTATAGCAATAAGGTGATTTTCATTTAATTCTCTACCTAAAACCATTTTTGTGCAGAAAATGGGGGTGGTATATTAGAAACTTTTCCTTGTACCTTAAAACATCTTAAAATTATCCAAGAAGTGAAACAGATTTATAAATTAAAATGTGTACTTGAGAGAGAAGACATGATCTCTGAAAGCTTTCCCTCATGGTCTTTCTTTCAATAACGTATTATCATTACTTGACAAACTGATTCTTTTTGTTTTAGGTATGGTGGTGGAGAGCTGCATTCTATTTCAGCGTTTGTTGGTGGTTGCATTGCCCAGGAGACAATCAAATTCATCACTTCTCAGTACAAGCCAATCCACAACACTTTCATTTATGACGGAATCACCAGTAACACAGCATCTTTTACTCTGTAAACAACCTGACCTTAGCACTTCACCTTGGCCTTGCAAATGCCTCTTTTGTTAATGTGTTTCAAGAAATTGTTGCTAGCACAAAGCATAAAGACAAATAGCATTGTGAATTTATTTATGAATATTGTGAATTGAAAACTATAATATATAAAATATTCCATTGTAAATAAATTTGGTATGAAAATGTAAATTTCCTCCCTTATTTTTATTTTTTTGTGTCCTTCATTTGAATTATCAAGATTTCCAACAATTTTTTATTGTACACTCCAGTACCTACTTGTTGATTTTCCAAAAGGAGGAGTTGATCTGTGGGACTGCTCAATGCAAGCCTTTCTAAAAGTAAAGCTGAATATTGTATTCAGCTAAATATTTTGATATCCTAAGATTTTGGTTGAGTTATGAGGCAAGTACACTAGGACATTATAGATAGGATTATAAAACTGCAAGAATGGACAAAAAAATGTTAAAAAAAACAAAGTTGCAATGGGGATTACAAGAGCAGTAGAAAAATAAACAATAAAGGGGTTCAGATTACCAACTGTTTAAAAATCCTTCTGTTGCAAGTGGGACCTGTTTGTAAACAGGGTTAGATGATTGCAGGTACCTTCTTTACTTTACACTTGTTCATACTCGATACCCTACCCCAGTCTAAGCATTTGGATTGAAACTGATTACATGTTATGCTCTTGCTGTTGGTATTCTGTGACATTGAGATGAGAAAAGTGTGAATATTTGAGCTCATTTTCAGTGAAAACTATTGAGTTTGTGAGAAACTTTATAAGACATCATTTGAAACACACGAACCCATAAAAGCAATAATGTGAACAAATCACCACGAATGTAAATATTAACAATGTGAGAGACTTGTCAAAAAAAATTACATTTTTGTAAGTTTTGAAAAACACACAAGAATAGAGCAAAATGGTGTTTATGTCATCTTACAGAGTTCATGTAGCATTTTCAAAAAAATATTGTGTTATGTTTTACAATTGCATATATTACACATGATAATTCACAAAAACTACTAAAATTTTCAAAAAAATCTTCATGACTATAATGAAAGAACTAAATCTGCAGACAAATTTAATTTGAAGGAAAAATCTATATTTTTAATTTTATAGTTATAGGAAGATGCCAAAAAACATTCAATCTTTTGCAATTTTTGAAAATTCAGAGTTATCAGTAAAAATCAAACCCATGCCATTTTTATAAGTGTCTTTCACTCAATTCTTACAAGAAATTTAAAGAAAAAATGTGGAGCTATTTTTGAGAACATTTTGAAAACAATCCAAGGGCTTTATGTAAAGCAACCGTTTGTAACAGTTTGACTGAGGTCAATTTGTGATGGTATTTACTTATCTCGATGAATGCTCGGTCACTATTGTGATCATGTATTGAACTACAATTGGGTAAGGACATTATCATTCATGTAGCAACCATGATGCACACATTGATGCCAAAGGGCAGCTGAGTCTTGCATTGTTCAGAGCAAACCACAAACCAAGACTACTGTTTGAGAAATTATGCAAGTTAACATTTCACAGCACACTGTTTATCAAACACTGCTATGGAATCAAGTGCTACACATTTCCAAATAGTCATATATAAAGACATATTAGTAAAGAGCATGAATATGGATTTACTTAAGATACACATTATGAAAGCTGTTTTAATATATTTTTTTTCTAACCAATTATTGATATCAGGCAGCATCATAAAACAATTAGTTATTCAAATGAGAGTGGCAAATATCAATCAAAAGATAAAACAACAAAAAATTATTCCAAATATAACATATAATAATCTTCAGATATTTGACATTCATAAGAATGTGCAAAGAAAATGCCTTACTAAAATGAAATTTGCACATTTTACAAGAAATATGACTTGAAAACAAATAAGAGAAATTAATATTTTGAGGAGAGAAATTGGATAAAAGATCAAAATCAAATGAGTGAAGTGGTTTTCCATTTCCATTCTTTCTTACACAAAACAATGTTAAGACATTTTATTTTCAAAATGTAGTACACGTTTGTTTATTATCTCATAGATAAGTAAAAAGGGCTTCATTTAACTTGTTGATTTAATTTTATAATTGACTTGCAAATTTTGAAATTCTGATTTAAAAAAAAAGTCCTGCAACAAAATTGTAAACACTTTCTATTATAAGTCAGTTTCTCATTCTCAAGAGTGACAGCCAACTTTACAGTTTTGCTTCACCTTCTTCTCAGCTGCATCCATCTGTGCCTAAACAACATACCAGAGCCTCTCTTGGCACCTACCGCTCTCCTGGAGATTATTCTCAGAGAAGAGGTTCCTCGCACTCCTCCATCATTGTACAGACAAAACCCTTTGGCTCATCTCAGTCCTGAACCATTATATACATATATGCACATTTTAGTCCTGAGCCCTGTCTCTGAGCTTGCACCATTGATCTGAATTTTAGTATCCAATTCCTCAATTATACACCCAGGTAAATTGCACAGAAATCTCTCAAACAGTTACTGATCCGGCTCAGGGATTAGAGAAAGATTAGGGTATTGCTGTGATATTTAAGGGACTAGAAATGCAACTCACAAACACAACTAAAATATTCATCATTTATGCAGGTTTTGAACCTACTGCCTTGAGGTCCACAATCTTGGGTGCCAAGCCCACCTCGAGAGACGACTCACTTGACCATACCACGAGTAAACTTGTTACAGCATTGTAACTTAATTATGATTTGATAAATAAAATAATTACTGAAACTAATTTTTTTTAGGCATAAGCAGACTGTAATGATTTTTGCAACATTGAATTTGTATCTTGCTCACTTTTGCTTCCATAGTAACACTATTTGATTCCATAGTAACAAACTTTCATTAGCATTACAATCTCATACATACACTTCATAAGTATTAACAACTAACAATGGTTACTTTCCTATAATATATAGAGGTAATTGTACTTTTTCTGACTTGTTATAGTTAATTGGAAATGAAACTGAGAATATCTTGGAAGAGCAAAATGCCACTTCATATTGAAATCGCTCTTAAAAAAATTTTGGAGCCGTTTTTGAGAAAATTTTGTTTGAGAATTTCTGAAAATGTGCAAGTTTGAGTTTATTTACACAAAAACATTTGAAATTTTGAGAATCTTCATAAGAGATCATTTTAAGTACTTATATTCACAAATGCATTGCATTATTAAAATACAAAGAGCAACTATTAGGGACTTGAGAGATAGTTTAAAAAAACTAAATTTATGTGTAATTTTTGAGATACCAAAATGTTTAATCAAAATTGTCATGTAGTCGAAACCTTTTGGCTTTATCTGCATGAAAAATATGAATTCTTTTAAGAAAATTACCAAATACAGCTGCATTACTGGTCACTTTTATTGACAATAAAAGATTACAGCATTTTTGTAGCAAAGTTGCTTGAAATTACTTTAAAAAGTACTTTTCCAGTAATATACGAGCGAACTTTAGTTTTGTTCCTACAGAACTTAAATTCTATTGCACTCAAAATAGCAATTATGTGCTCTTATTTTTCAATTACTATTTTCTATTGCATTGCAGAATGTCAATGAGAAAACAATACTAAACTAGGGAATAAAATACCTTCATTTTCTGAAAATAATTGGGAGCTTCACTCTCAGCAATATTTAGCAAAACTATTGCACCATTTTTCATCATTTAAATTTAAACACAATTTTAACACTGATATAATATTCATCGCTGATAAAAGTAAATGCTAGAATTGACAATTATAGTTTAACACTTATACTTGCTACAGAATCGCTCTTTATTCTGAAGTAATAAACATTTAACTAATACATTTATTTTGAAAAGAAATGAGCATGAAAATAACAACACAATCTCATTAGTTTCATATTTTTCATGCATTATAACATAACATATGAAAATGTACGTTGACATCCACAAAAATAAGAATTCACAGCAGATAACACTGTATCAGAGATTTCAGAGAAGATAATTTGACTTATTTACAATAACACAACTGTAGCACCATGTCAATTGGATCACACAAGGCACTTGTGCTAAATGTTTCAAATTTAAAGTAACACAGATAACATCGCCTCAATGATTGAATTCACCTAATGCCTGCAGAAATTATTTGAATTGTTGTTTGGTATTTAACAAGGCATCAAACCAAAACAATTACACATTTTAATAGTGAGAGGAAAACTGAAACCATTTTATTGTTATATATATTGCAGGTTAAGACACGATAACTGCAATGGAAAATCCTCAAAGACGAGGAAATAGAAGACCACACAAAAGGTAATAAAGAGTTCATTGAAAGGCTAAAAAATTTAAGTACAAAATATGAATGGAAATAGATGAAATTATAACAAATGTGAAAACATAATATAAAACCTGGAAGGAGGGAATAAAAGGATAACTACAAGACGACCAGAAAATAAAGAATAAATATAATAATATTTAATATAATAAAATAAATAAAATACAAAGAGCAGCTTATAAATGAAACACGATCACAAAGGAATATAAAATGAAAATACTGTTCACAAAAACAAAGTCTATGGGATTAATAGGTAAAGAATACAGCAGAACAAAAATAGCCATTGAAAATAAAATAACAGAACAAATTGCTACATTAACAAACTAGGAGACAAGATATCACCAACAGAAGATGATATGGACCCAAAATTAACAAGAGTACTACAAGATTTATTTCAAAACCCACCGTATTACATAGTTGTGAAACATGCTTATTAAAAACAAAGAGACAAAAAAAGAATCAAAGCCATCCAAATGAGATGTCAATTTTTGGCCAATTTTGAAAACATCAAGGACAGATAAGAAATGAAGATTCGAAAGACACTCAAAGCTAACTCTCTCTTTTAGAAATTGCAAAGGGACAAAAGAAGTGGCAAGAACATATAAAAAATAATTCCCAAAAAAAATACTCTAATACAAGCCAAAAGAAAGAAAAAATCCAAGCAGACGATGAAAATGCTGAGAAGATGAGGACACCTCTAAAGTGACTATGGGGTAAAAGTAACAAAAATTAAATGAGCCAAAAAACAGGACAATAGGCTTGAACGTTATCTGATCTTGATGATTATAAATAAGATGGTGGATTGTGATAATATGAATATTCTGGCACCATAACTAACTGAAATGATTCTGATTTTTAAAAAGATCATAATTTCATGCAACTTGGTATAGAGTGTTCATGTTTTGAAAAGTAACTGATAGAGTAAATCTCACATATTCCAGTTTTTGAGCATTTTTCACGGACCTCTACCAAAAACGATATTCTGGGTTGTTTTATTGGACTCCTCAGACTGTAACGTGAATATTTCTTTATAACTCTTCAAAATTATGCCCAAGAATTCCTGTATAAACTTAAAGAAAATGTCACATAGTGGAAATATTGATTTTAAACACAGTAAGTAATTATGAAGATGTGAAATTTTATCAATATTGATTACTGAAACATTTTAAAATACATTATTATTACTACTACTACTACTAATAATAATAGTAATAATAATAATAATAATAATAATAATAATAATAATAATAATAATAATAATAATAATAATTAATTACGCATTGCATGCATAATTGAAAATGAAGTGATTGATAATGTTTTTAATAGTTTATTACAGATATTTCATTATATATTAATTTCTTAATTTTAATTTTATTTATCAAGGTTTTACTGTATTGTCATTCATTTTGAAATTATTTATTAACGTATGGGAAAATAATTTCAAAACAAGAACGAAATGTTTTGTAATAATAAAAAACTGAATCCAAAATATTTTTTTTTTACTGATACATGATTGATTTTTCACGTGGTTTGATGCATTGCTATTTAATAACTTATTTTTCTTATGATTGATAATAAAGCAACAGATACTTGTTATATCTATTGAAATGCAAAGACCCAAAAGAATCAAAGACAGAGAACTAAACATTTTCCAAATTAAAAAAAATACAAATTCAGAGTAAGGAAAAATATTTTCAACAATCATTCATCCCAAAAGAAGACATTTATGTAACATTTTTTGTAAATAAATAAAGCACATCACAAGAACTCAAAAACTGTATCACTAGACATTTATAAACTACATACTGATATATTTTATATCATTCATTCAAGTGAAATTTCTTATAGGCTCATATGCTAATGACTTTCTTAAAGCTTTTAACAATGGCACACCAAATATAAAAAATTGTTCTCTCAATCTCATATCAACTGTTCTCAGTCTTAAATAATACTTTTTATATTTGACTATGATTTAAAGTCAAAAAAATTAAAGCTTAGTTATCCATTCTGCTGGCCTGCAAGTTTGTGTAAGCTTTTCACATATTTAAAAAAAGAAACAAAAAACTTCAACCATCTTCATTGCTTCCATTCTTCTGAAAGTCTTTTAAGGAATTGGCAAAGAAAACCTGCCGCTCCTTCTCTATAGAAATATGTACATAAACAAAACATTCTAGATCAATTTAATAAATATAATTGCAATATTAAAAAAAACAACTGGAAAATAAAATGTGTAATACAAACAAATAAATATATGTTATTAAACAAAATGGAATGACACAAAATATGTTATTTTACAAAGGTGCAAATTCCCAGGTCTCAAGAAGTTTAATGATATGCCATGTAGATCAGAGGTACATAGAACTCCTCAATATTGAATATGCATGATCAACATGTAAGCACCGTCAGTGTTGTGTGAAGAATCTTCCTTTCCTAAAAATACAATGTTCTAAAAAAGTACCATCTTAACCAAAATCTGTCACACACACTGTTTCTGCACTCTCACACTGCTGCATGCATCTTCATTTAAATCTAGTGTAGACTTGTAAGGCCTCAAAGAAGATTTAACCATCTCCGTTAATTTTGAATAATCTTTGATTGAAGAACCATTAGTAATTTTATCTTCTAATTGAGAAAGTATCTCCAATTTCAAAAGCAGTAATTTTGCCTCTGAGGGTGAGCTTGACATCCCTGCAAAAAACAAATATAAAGGGAAATAATTTTTGAAGAGCTGAATTGAAATAAAAGGATGATCAGTTTCAAACTATACTGATTCATATTTGAATGGATATTAAGATACTATTTGAAAATGTTCTTAACATCAATACTGAAAACCTTACACATAAAAATGTAAAAGATAAAATCAACAATGATATATCAACACAACTTCAATGCTTCTGCCTATTCGCGAAACACTTGCAAGAGGAATTAACAATGTTCTTGTACAAGTTTCAATCCGACACTCTTGCGACTACTAGTTGGTTAGACATGTATTTGCCTCACTTAGTTTTAATAGTCAGTAATAGTTTGGATTGGGCCATTTTAATGACTCAATGATTGTGTGATATAATGTAACTCAGACACTATTAAATGACTAATCCTTTTTATTTATATTCACAACTTCGGTATACTTGCAAAAAGTTAAAACAAATCTTAAACTCATCTTCAGGGCTGAATTAAGAGTCTGTGGAGGCCATGAGACTATCAGCAAAATGCCGTAAATTTTTACACATACATATTTTGCACTGTTGGTGAAAAATAAAATCATTAATTATCTTTTGATTTGCCACAATTTATGACTGAGCAGCAGCAATAAATATTTATATTAAACTCCCAAATGATTTTCCAAACTAACCTTTCCAGTGGTGAAGTAGCTTTGTGACGAGGACTTCGAGGTCTTGGGCTTTGGGAAATGCTGGCAGAGCATCAGGCCCACATGGCTGCAGTTGCAGTAGCTCCAGGAGGCTCTCAGCCATGGCCCTCAACACTTGAGCCTCTTCTGCGTAGATGTTGCTCGTCCCATGCTCGAAGGGGCTGCTCTTCACAGCAGCCGCAGCTTGCATCTCGCACTCGGCCTCTGCCAGCATAGCTTCTAGCGAGCTCATATCCAATAGCTTCTTTAGGAAGTACCTAACACAAGATATTGAGGAAGCATGTTCATTTATGCAGTATCAGAAACATTGCCAGTATATAAGTGAAACTTCGCTCATTTTTAATGTTTGAGTTATGTAGTTATGTAGTTTATTGTTTTTAAAAACAATCAGGGCCGGAGATGGAAATTTTTTATTCCGTTGTTATACCACTAGAGAAAATAATGTTTCTTCAATAGGAAACTCCCCTTCTCTCTAAAAGGGGATGATGAGTGCATCCTCTCTCTCCACCCATCTGGCAATTCACAATCACCAGACAAGTTCACCATGAACACGCGCAAATTCACACATGCATTAGGCAGCATGCAGCTAATTGCTCGTTTGAACTCGAGCCATCTACATGGACCTGGATCAAGTGGCATTAACTCACCTTGCTATTTGATAATGGCTGAATACTCCAAGGAGCCCCTCCACTCTAAGAAGAGTCAGAAGGCACACATAGGGGTTCTGTTCAGACGACACAAACTTGCTGGCTTCACTGCGAACTACTGGGTCTTCGTCTTGCAAAAGGGCTAATCCACAGTCCAAAACAGTACTGACTATATCCACATACAAAGGCACATTTTCAATCTCTTTATCTTGAGAATGAAGGCAAGAGAGTCCTCGAAACAGTACAACAAACGATTCTGCAGCATGAAAACGTACATCTACATCCCATTCATCAGCAGCCGTTCTTGCCAGAGCTTCTTCTGCAAGTACCTTCAAGAATTCTTTCTCTGATTGGGAAATGTTATGAAAATTTGTAATGTTAGAAGCAAACATTTTGCAAGCAAGAGGCAAAGATATCGACCAAATCACTAAGCACTCTTCTTTTCTGGCAATGGTAAGTATGTTATGAATAATTCTAAAAGTTGTCATTAGATTCACAGTTGAAGTCAACTCAAGAAGAGTTAAGAATATGGAACTTAAAAGATCCCATTCCTTTGTCCATCCATTGCACACACAAGACACCAAGGTGTTTGTTAACTCTTCTTTGGTGGATTCAGACAAATTGGGAATTCTACTTTTGATTGCACAAACACAAGTGTCAGAAAGGATATCCCAGTCATTTGCATACACTGTTGTCCAGATTGAACACAACTCCTTTTCTCTGCACCTAGTGGAAGCAAATTTAACCCCCTGAATGGCCCAAGAATGAATTCCTGGAAAAAGCATATCGCGGAATGATTTCTTTTTTAAAGCAACAATTACCTCTCTTACTAGTTTCAAATAATCATGGAATCCATAATCACTGCAATGGATTTCTATAAGATGCATGATTTCAAGGTGAATAGACTTATTAATATATGAATTTTCTGGTAAAGGAACTTGCAAATTGTGACGCATATGCCTAAATGTTTGCACATCAGTACCTTCTTCTATTAAGCGATGAATTAACTGTTGTAGGGCAGCAAGTTTTCCGTGAATTTCATTCTCTGACATGTTTTCTGCCTTCTTCAATTCAGTACATAACATTGTAACAGTTGCATAGACCTTGTTTTTGGGTATGAATCTACTATAACATTTGGCGGCAGTTTTTCTTATAGCCAATTCTGGGCACTTCATAAATTGAACCATATATTTCAGAAAGTATTGAAGATCAAGACCACAGTTATCTGCAGACCAACAATCTCCATACGTAAGTTTACTGAGAAAAGACAAAATGGGCACAATGTATTTAAACATATCTGGTTGAGATGATGTTTTCTTCATTTCATCCAAGAAGAAGGTAGTCAGGCTGGGATAATGGGCAAGAAACTCTTCAGTAGTAAGGTTTCCATAGATTTCCGTGTCATCATCTTGAACCTTTTTCTCCCCAACAATCAGAGGTAAGAGAACTCCAAAAAGTTGTAGAGCAGCATTCCTATGAAGGAAAAAATAATTAGCATACGTCTGAAATGTCACAAAGATTTGAAGTGCAAACTAATTATGACAACTTCCATTCAAAGGAAAGTATGTAAGTGACAATTTAGATTAATGAATGGAAGTTGAGTGAAAAAAGTGTATTGGGAAGCAAAGAGATTTTGTCAAAAACATTATATATTATATATATTTGTTGCTGAAATATATCATTCGGAAATATTCAGATTGGCAACATTTAAAAACAAAGACATATGGGGAAGAAGTACAAGCAGAAGGAAAAAAAACAAACTTTCATAGTAACAGGTATTTCAGTTTTGGCTCTGCTGTTGCACGCCAAAATATGAATTCTGTGTTTTTTCTGAGGGATCATTGCTCAGGTACATAGGTGTGCACAGCTTAAAACAAGGGGCCCAAGTAGGCCCCCTTTCCTATTGAACCATTTTAAATTACATAATTATGAGAATTTACTCCCAAATAAGTGAAATATACTACAAAGAGTTAATTACGATTTCAGAGTGGCCACATTTCCTAAAACAAATTTCTCTGACTTTTGCCGGTTTTCCAGAGCATTTTTTAAATGTTTCACTGAAAAGATTTGTAAAGTATTTCACACTATTAAAAGAAAATATTAAAGCAAGCCTGAAACTAATTTGTCAGCTCTTTCATTTCACCAAAATACAATACAAATTAAGAAAAGTCAAGAAATAGAAGTCCAGAAAAAATAACGTTGTACAATATTTTTTGGTATAATATCTAGTGTTATAAAAAATACAAAATTTTCCCTGATTTCTAATGATTCTTTCACAAATTCACTAATTTTTCTGAAGCAATGAAATTCCCAATTTTTTCCTGAACATTAACAATTAGCTTTTATTAATAAATACAAATAGATTTATGTTGAAGTACCTACAGGGTTGCCAAACTTGGAGAGCTACTTTCCCAAATGCCGTAAAAATAAATATCCCCATTCACTGTTTGACAAATTATTTTAAGTAATGCTAACTAATTATTAAATTAAATTTAGTTTTAAAAAAAAAATCTATGTTCTAACATAAAGACATATATGGGAAGATCCCACAAGACAACGTAAATCAATTACAGATATAATAATAATGTGGATGAGGAAAACATTATTAAAGGATGTGCATGATTATAGACAGCCTGAATGTGCCAGCAACCATCACATGGTAGTGGGAAAGGTATGTTTTACGAATATAAAGACAACTGATCTAAAAATAGACCATGAGCTTATAGACAACAAGGAATTGATCTTCAAGACAGACCTCTTGAACAAGAATAGTGTGAAAATGCTCTACCAAAATAGACTGGACAAATTAAATTTGGAAAAGGAGGACTACAGAAATGTAGCAACACTTGAAGGAAAGTATTTTGAAAGCCGCTAGGGAAGCCCTTGGAGAAGAATAAAGAATAAAGAAATATTCAGAAAAAATTTCTAAGAATTTAGAAGAAATGATTCAAGAGAAAAAAAAGGCATGTACGAAATGGTTAAATGACAAAACACCAGAGTCAAGAGAAAAATATGTTTTGTTTTGACAGAAAGTTAAATTAGGTGTCAGAATGGAAAAAAATGAACATTGGGATAGTTTATGTACATACATCGATGGAACTGTAGGATACAATAAATCATCTGAAGCATGGAAAATTATCAAGAAAATGAAAAGAAATAATGAGTGTAACAGCACGGTACAAAGAATCCCCTCACAAAAATGGATACACCACTACTCAACGCTTCTACAAGAAAGCAGACCAGACTGTGAAGGAGAAGAAGAAATAAGAGATATGGAGGAAAACAGTTTTGAAATAATGGAGGATGATGTTAAGAAGACACTATGCAATGCAAAACCCAATAAAGCCGCAGGACCAAGAAATATAAGAATGGAGCTCCTGAAATATGGCGAAGATGTGATTGTGAGATACTTAAGGAAAATATTCAATAACATAGAAGCAGGAGAGGATCCACCCGCAGAATGGAACACATCTTACATCGCTTCAATATTTAAGAAGGGAGACAAATGATCATCAGGGGAATAAGTGTCATACCATCAACAGCAAGATTGTTTTCTAGTATTTTGATTAAAAAAATTGAAGATGTACCTGTATTGAGTGAAGAGCAGAGTGGGTTTTAGACGATTGCAATCATGCCTAGATAACATCCACTGCATCAGACATGTTATAGAGAAACATAAAGTCAGAAATAGAGATATTTATGTGACCTTTATAGACCTTCAAAACGCATATGATAGTGTCCCAAGGAAAAAGATGTGGGAAGCAATGAGAAGGGTTGATATACAAGAGAAATGGATCAACCTAGTTAAAAATCTTTACAAGAACACCAAAGCGCAAATTAAAATAGGAAGTAAGTTAACAGGAAGCGTTCCGATAAAGGATAACAAGGGTCTATACCAAGGATGTGGATTATCTCGCCACGAAATCCGACTCGATTGACAGACGTCGCATAATGTTCCTTATGGTGCTCGACACAATGGATAAACACCGCGGGAGGCGCGGAGGTAACAGACTTTGATAGGAGTAAAAGTAGTCGTCGTCCCCGTCCCGTCGTCGTCGTCGTCACCGTCCCGTCGTCGTCACCGTCCCGTCGTCGTCGTCACCGTCCCGTCGTCGTCACCGTCGTAAGAAGTGGTCGTCACCGTCGTAAGAAGTGGTCGTCACCGTCGTAAGAAGTGGTCGTCACAGTCGTAAGAAGTGGTCGTCACCGTCGTAAGAAGCGGTCGTCGTAGTAGACGTAACGTTTTGGAGCGCCCACTCACTGCACGGTCCAGTTGGCGGAGGAGAAGGCGTCCACGCAGAGCAGGGCCGTGGCCGAGGCGTAGGGCAGCAGCTCGAGGCGCAGCGACGCGTCCTGCGCCAGGCGGCTCAGCAGGTGCAAGGCGCACGCCTGCGGCAGGTCGCACTCCTCCAGGGCATGGCCCAGCGGCGGGGGGCTCTCCACCGCCTCGCACAGCCCGCGCAGGCACACGCGCAGCAGCGGCTGCGCAACCACAAACGCCGACGAGGTTAAGCAGCTCGAGAGCAAGTAGGTAGGTAGCCGAACTGCTTAACCGATCTCCGTGAAGTCACGAATACAGATTAAACAGAAAGAAACATCGAATGTCATGTCACCCCCTAACTGCTTGCGACGAACCACTGGCCGATATGGATAAATGGCTCGAGGCAATAACTATTTCATGAATTACTCCATTACTTATGATCTCTTTCAAGGAGGATTAGTTCGTGTTCAATGCCGAATAAAAGTGAAGCATTAGTAAGAATAAAAAACAAACATCATTCACTCGGAGCCAATCGGCAGCGTTAGTATCTGGCGATACATTAGCGTATTTTGAACGGGCATTGCCATTTAATTCTTCGCACGACAACCTGTCAAAGAGCACTCAGAAATAGAGCTAGAAAAATAAGCTACTCTCTAATTTAAGTACTATGCAGCGCCGGCCCCCTCCCTCCACGCACAGCCAACGTGCAGCGCCATGAGAAAGGAAGGGCTCGTGAGTAACAGCTTTGGACGGCGGCAGCCGCATGAGCGACAAATGTTCAGTGGCACTTCCGAGTGACTTAAAGCGAAGGCCGCCATTTAGACCAGTGTTCTGATGTCGTTTGCACTGCTAGTGGTGGGAGTGTGCCACAGGTGTGAACGCCTACATCTAAACCGATGCTTTGCCAGCAGATGCGCCATTCGGAAGCGCTGCTCAATGGCTGCGTGTGAAGGGGCTCTTAGCCGATCAATGGCTGCGCTTAACTCCTGTTAGCACGAATACGGGATGTTTTGAAAAGCACAGCCGCAATGAATACATAATCGAGATTGGCAATCCACAACCTGTAATACATGAACACTATGATGTGCGGAATGATAATGGGAATGACGACGACGGTGAATGATAACTAAGAAGATATGTTCGGCTTTGTTTCAAATAGTAATTATTTTAACGGTTTTTCAATTCGCAAAACAAATAAATTTTATTTTTTGACAGGCACCACTACTCCAGTGACTTAAGATAGAAAGTATAAATGTTAATGACTAAAAAACAATATTAATTTCCAATTTGACTGTTACTGCAAGTGGAATTCTATAAAGGCTACATTCGGCATTCGCCGAGTAGCGAGCAACTGCTCGCCGAATTTGGCGCAGTGTGGATGGGTTGCTTGCTATTTGCCGAGCGACAAACATTCCGAGCTCGTTCTACCCACCGCATGTCGGTCTTTTGGACACATGAAACATTCGCTAAGCACATCGGCTACTGGGGATTGGGCGAGAAGTTGCAGGCTACTCGGCTGATGGCCTAATGAGTGGAGCCCCCTTACGACGAGGAATAGATGACTTCAAAATTTAAATTAGTTCCCAGGGGCTTCACAATTTGTTAATTTCATTTAACATACTCTAGCAATACAAATGGTTAGGAAACATACACAATTTGGAAAATTATATTTTTTTATGAAGATGAAAGTGGTGAATGAAATGCCAAGTTTCCACCCTTTAATGAAAAAAATATGTTCTCCCTTTTAACAGTCATCAATGATTACCTTGTCAGGGCGAGCGTCAGCAGCAATAATCTTCTGCACAAGAATAGCAATGCCAGCAGACTGGCGAGTGATGGATGTCTGGTTGGAATAAGTAGCAATGCCCACGAGAACTCGCTCCAACATATCTTGGAGAAAGTCCACGAGCTTCTCACCACATTCAGGGAGAAACGATGATAAGCACTTTCTAGTTTCTTCTTTCCTTGTCACGTGTCGCACCATTACTGCAAAAGATGCTCCTGCAGCTTCAATAGTGCCCTTGTGCCTACACCTAAGCAGAACCTGCAATATATGAGACAAATATTCAGTTTCATTATGCGTGGATCAGAAGGGAATGTATGATCTATGGCAGACCTGCACAGCATTTTGTCCTTTGACTGACCTCGGAAGCTGCACACAAGCAACTTTAATGCACACCCAGCATGGATGGCTGGGAATAAGACTCATTCTAGGAGTGGGAACCATCAATGAGAACGTGCTATTGGAACCATAGAGCATAAATTGAAAGAGCAATGGACTACTACATACAGTTGAAGTATCATTAGCTTTTATTTTGGAAATGTTTCTTGTCAATGTATGATAATGTGAAGTATAAATCTAAAATGAATTATACATATTTGATTTGGATACCAGTACTATAATTACTTGTAGGACTGATAATGTAATTCGTTTTGCTATGACAAAGCATCCTGCTAAATATAAAATTGTAATATTGAATCTTTTTTGTTTGATGATGAGAGTAATACATTATTTTTTTCATTAACTATGTTTAATCGATTAAGATGGTTGTATCCAAGCTAAAAAACCTTATTCTTAAAAAAATTATTATTACTTTATGCTCTAATTTCTGACAAGAATACATTATATATTTTTAATTTCAAATCAATGAATACTATTTATTTATAATTGTTTACAATGTACAAGATTCAGCTCTCTGCATTCTAATTAACAAGACTAATAGTAATGCCATGATTGCCCATAAAATATCATGAAATGAATGTCCTTGTTAAAATTTATTAGGAGATTGTAATATTCCTTGTGAAAAACCAATTATTAAATTTTAATTTTCGTAAGTTAAAATTACATAATAAATTTTTCAAAAGACCACTGTTTTAAAATATTGTTTATGAGTAGGACAATGAGGAGGAAAAAATGTTGATACGTAGCAGTGCACAAAAGAATATAAACAGTTAAGAATAGCCATTGTAGCTACAAATAAGGAACATTACCCATTTAAATACGGGGACAAATAATTTTGAAGTAATGGCTCATTGAACCAGGAGTTCAATCTGCGTCGATACTGCTCCGGCTTCTCCTCACCCCCCAAAGTTCCCTACTCCCCATTAGTTGCACGTTCACAGCTTCCATGAGCAGACAGCTGGCTCGTAACAGCAGAATGCCCATGGGAGCAGTTGTCGTACAGGCCTGATCTATGGGAAGGGTTCACAAAAGGTGTTCTTTTTTGTTTGTTTGTTTTTTATACAAAAGTTTCATTCAACACGTTTTGTAAACCATATCTTTAAATGTAATTGATGTTAAAAGATATTACTAAGAGAAATCCACAAAAAAAGTTTCACCAGCCCAGATTGCCGAAGTGTGTTCGTGTAATGGTGGTCACAGCAAGAACAGCTGTGATAGAGTCTGGTGCTCATTGCCTGGATATTGGGACGTTACACATGGGAATGCCATTCATAAGTTCTTTGGATGTATGTAACTATCACTACTAGCACTAGTAGAGATAGCAATTTTCATGATACGAAAACAACATATATCAATGTTAATGTAAACAAGGCCAAATCAATACACAGTGAAGTAAGATATACAAATTGACATAACAGATTTTAAAGTTTCATATCTTAACGAATTCTATGTATTTGGCTGCCACAGACTATTTGAAAATATAAGCTAATATGCTCATCAACTCACTGGATAGTGGCCGATAGGAAAATCAAATTCATCGAGCAACATGTCTGGCAGTGAATGCGCTTACGACATTTAAAAACAGTACAGGCAAACATCCTCCATATTAATATTCTACTCACCTTCTCGACAATCATCAAACTGCGCACTACATCCAACCCAGAGGCATTAGGGTTGCAGACGAGAGTGGCTGCAAGGGCACAACTCTCTTTGAGGGTGAGCCACACACAACTGAGGGTGAGCTGGTGGCCGGGGGACAGCTGCGTGGGACAGCTCTCCAGATCCTCCTCCGGCACCAACTTGTTAATAGCCAATGTCATCTCTGCAAATGACGGGGACACCTGCCACCAAGAAGAGACACCCCATGACAAAGTTTTATTCATTTTGAGTGTCATATATATCACTTTTCTTGCAAGCCAATTTCGTTTCTTATCCAATACAGAACTCACAGCTTGTCAAGATAAAAGGCACCAGAAACATTCGGAAATTATTTTTTTTTTTTTTACTTATTTAATACCATGAGTAAATAAGAAAAGCTGGCAAAGAAAAAGTAGAAAAGAAAAGTTTTTCATTGCACTCACTGCGCAGCAATCCTCCTCCTGCCCAGACAGAAGGCTGAGGAAATAATCCACAATCCTATTTAAATGCAGCAATACAAGTGCTACATCTTCTTGAGTGAAGTATGGGGCCAAGTGTACAGAGGCACCCAGGGCTCCATGCAAAGCAGCACCACAGGTCATTGCACGGAACACATCCTTCCGGCAGGAGATCCACTGGTGTTCTACCTCCAATTGCCAGAAAGTGATCAAAGGCCGCAACTCTGTGAAACAAAAATAGCTCAGAGTCATTCGTTCTCAAAACATTAAGCAAAACAATGTAAACATATTAGTCAATATGATTAATTTCTTTTTCAATTATAAAACTGAATTTACTTCTTTCTGGGAAAGAGGAATGGAAAAACACAACAACAAAAAACACACAAAAAGTGTCATAGCTAACAAATCCTGTTCTAATTTAATATATTATTTATTTACAAATTGCAATGAATTGACTCTTACACAATGTTGTTTGTGATCCAATATTATTGCAGCATGTGGATGTACACAAAACTTCCATTTGAATAATTAAAGACTCAAATACAGTGTAAGGATTGATATGTGCTAACCACACCTACCCCTTAATGCATGGCTCACACTGACCCAGGCTTCGTCAGAGACTATTGTGCTTAAGTACATCCATCCATACATACATACAATACAAGTTTTTGTCTCATCAAGTCACAGTCAGTATATACTTCACTTCCCTGACTGAGAGTAAAGAGAATAAAAAGTGTAGGACTTTGAAATAAAAAATTGTTTTACAAATTACATTACTACATTTCTAATTGACGACCTACCTTCACAGTGTTTAGTATCTGCAGCATTCTGCATCTCTTCATTGGGTTTATTAGTTTTGGGAGTGGTTTTAGCAGCAGATTCACTATGCTCTCCAGGACAATCATTAATAGATTTATTATGTAATGCTGGATCTACAATTAAAAATAATTAATAAAGATCTGCATCATACTTAAACTGTTTAGGAGAACATACATATTTATTTTACAATGTATTCATTTACTTTCTAATAAACCAAAAAATAAAACAAATCCTTGAACCTTACAAAGAAATGGGAATGAGAGAGCTCTGTTAAGAAGATTCCTGAAAGCCCTCCACACCTCCCAATATTTACCAGTAAAGAGAGATGGGGAGTAGTGAGCAGAGAAAAAAAGGACAAAGAAACAAAGAAAGGAGTTAGAGAGAAGTGAAGGTAAAAGCGGCGAAGAACAAGAAAACATTATAATATATTGGATTTGGCTTACCTACTTGCAGTCTAACAGAGAAGTCACTGCAGGTCTTAAGCAGCATATCCAATCTCTCCTTGTTTCTCATCTGCCAACAGAACACATCTCCTCCTTAAGTCTTTGCCTTGGAATAAGATGTCCGTTTGACAGACTGCCCGCCTCCGTCTGACTGACAGCCCGTCCGTCTGTCTCCCTGACTGCTCCCGAGCCGGAAGCACGGTCGCCCGGCTCGCGTTTCCCCTCAAACCACTGCGATACGTTAGTCTGGTGGGGTCCATATCGCCGAGCTGTGCAAGCCTCCCCACGCTGCTCAGTACATGCATTTTCTTAATTATCCTCATGGCATCATGAGTAATACATGAGTTGTGCATAAATCATGAACACATCATCTAGCTATCGTGTGGAAATGATAAGTTCTCCACACCGTGCCTTTTTATATCATGTACTTCAAGTTGAACTGATGTCACCACGCGTACGAAAGTTCTCATACATTACGTAACCAATTGTTTCTTCATGAACCAATGAGCTACACATCTCATATACGTTGCTTCACAATCGAACATTCTCCATTTTTATATGATTTTATGTAAATTATCATTTCAAAATAAACTGAACGTGCATTACAACTCACCAGTTGTGTTAATGCGCTCAGTGAATTACGTGTTGCTTATACATCGCACAATGTACTGTAATTTATCATGTGTTGAATTCATGTCAACATAAACTGCGAATGTGCCCCCGCCGTGAACAGTTATTAACTCATGAGTAATGTAATGGGCTGGCGCACGCGTCAGGTGGCGACGCGTGTTTTATAAAAGTATACTGAATATAACGTTGCTGCGAAAGATGCCAGGAAACGTGCATTACCTGCATGCGTTTTCGGAGCAATGGGGACGCTGAGGCATGCGGCCCAAATGTATCGGCACAACCACACCGCATCCGGTGACTCATGAGAAAATACGGACGCCACTGTCCCCGAGCGCCGCAAAGCCCCTGAGCCCTTTTCTCGGAACTTGGATGACGTTCGAGTTTCGCAGAATTTGGCGAGACTCGGGCGCCCGTCAACGACGCCGGCGATTGGGCGGAAGAAACGGCGTGACGCGCGCCCACCAATCGCAGGAAATGAAGGCCACGTGACCCCCGAAGGCGAAAGACGCTAGCTCTGCTTTTCCGATTCCGATCAGGGAGACAGCCAAAAGTAGACGGGCCTTGCCGAGGTGGGGGCGAGGGCGAGTTGCTCTGACCCACGGGGTCGCCAGCGGATACATTGCCGCATCGCAGGCCGCCACTGGAAACGCTGACTCTGAACGAACGCAGTGGGCCATGGCTATAAGTGCCCGACCGCGAGCCTAGAGTGACGACGGGCCGAGACGGAATTAGCGCAGCCGCGTACCGTGCCGCCGATGCCCGGACCATCGCTCTTGGCGCCCGTTGACGCCACTTCGCCGCATTGACCTCCAGGAAGGACCGCACCACGCCGCCAGACGCCCCGACCGCCCTGCTGATGGGCAAAGGGCTGAGGCGAGATGCAGCCGGCCGACGACCGCCGCTCAAGTAACCGGGGCCGTGGCCACCGGGAGGACGCCGCCTGCCGCCTGCCCGACTTGCTGAGGGGCAAAAAGGGTGAGATGAGGCGCAGCCTGCCGCCGACCACCCCACGCCAGACGCCGGGGCGCGTGGCCGCCGGGTCATGACCGCCCGGCAGCCGATGTTGAACTCTGGCCCGTTTAAGATTAGATTTAAGGTAATCCTTAGGATTAGTTTTAGCATGAGGCTTCACCTCGATAATAAAAAGGATCATTAAAATCACTTTAAAAGAAATGAAACAATGTGTTTGAATGTAGTGGTAGTATTAGAGTTAGCCCTATCACGCATGCCTCCCTCTAGGGAGTCTGCAGACTGAGCAGCCGAGGCAACGCTGAATCGGACGAAGTACAGCTAATCAGGTGAGTCTGGACAGCCACACGAAGAATGTGGTTACAATACCAACTGCAATCAATACAGTCTTCAACAGTAGATCTTCTGGAAAACGGAGGAAAAATGAAAGGGGTAAACAAATATAAATACCTCGGTGTACTTTTTAACAATAAGGGAAGTAGCCAAGACGAAATTGAGTGACGAATAAGCTTGGGAAGAACCGTGACACGAAGTATAAACTCTGACTTATGCAACAAAACCATCACTAACACTCTAAAAGACGACTTTACTCCTCGCTGGTTAAGAGTGCTACAACATACGGTTCAGAAGTTTGGGAGATTGATAAAAAGAAGGGAAGCTGCTGGCCCTTGAAATGGACTTCTGGCGTAGAAGTTTCTGTTATAGTAGACATGACAGAATCAGGAACGACATAAGAAAGAAAACGGACGTAAAGGAATATATCCTTGACGAAATAGAGAAAAAACAAATTGTATGGTACGGTCATGTTATGCGAATGACAGACGAAAGATGGCCAAAACGAGTCCTGAAATTAATTAATAATTACATTACCTATATATATATATATTATATATATATATATATATAAATATATATATATGGTAGGTCGTAAGGTAATTATTATTTATTTAATTGTATAAATTTCTTAGTCTTCATTATATGTCTTTTGTCTTTAATTACTACACGCCTTAGGCATTTTCCCAAGGTAATAGTGACTCGCTCTGTAGTTATAGACTTTACAGGAAACACGTCCATGTCACATTAAACACGGTGGTCCTCCGAGGTGTTATCAAAGCTATCAAGGCAAAAGTGAAACAGGATGGCTCCTAGCTCATCTGAGCCCTCAACAGTCCACGTGCCTCCTCAGTTGGCCTCCAACAAGCATATGAACAAATTATTATTATTATTATGGAATGTTTCATGCAAACATGACTTCTACACTCTGCACACATCTGCTTGGGCTTTGACAACTTGTTCTTCCTTGTTTGGCATTTGTTTCATGCAAACATTCATAACAAAGACCTCCACCAGAATTGATTTGGAAAATTTACATCTTCTACAAAGGGGTGTGCCACTAAACCTTCCTGTGTCATTGTTCATGAATACCTGATAACATTACTGAATACATGAAGCCTTTGAAACCATTCATTGTACTTACACTGATACATTTCCTCCAAATCACTACAAGTTGTGTTTCAGTATAAATCAGTACATTGCAAGAGCACTTGATATTATTTGATTCAGCCGTGGGATTTGCGAGTGCAGTAAACGCAATTTTCACATTAGTCTACAACTTCCACCATCTCCTAACGTGGTCTGGGAGTTACCCACCCAGCCTTCCAGCTAGTTGGGAGTGATGGCAATGGGATCATCACAATTGGGGTTATCACCCCACTGCTACAATGAAGCCAATCCCATATAGTTAAATGTTCAGTCTTTGTTCAATTCTGCAATTATTACTTGCTAATAAAAAAATGTTCAGTCCATGTAAATTTGATATGGCACTTCTGTGCAGGGACTTCATCCCTGTGCAGACAGATTAAATAGTAATTTTGTAATGAATGAGTATATTTGAGCATGACACACCAAGTCTTTCCCCTCACTCTTTAGAAGGAATTGGCACAGAAAAAAACAAATCTATTTTCTTGCTATCAGCTAGTCTGGTTCGAAGGAGATTATCCAAATCCTACTTTTCATGAAACTAAGACAATTAAAAGTTTCAGTATCCCCTCACTTTAAGTTTGGAACAAATACAAGTGTGTATTGTGGTTCGGTCAAGTCTATTAACGTGGCCAATGATGCTTAAACTACTCAGAAGGAAATATTAAATTATTTTCCAAAAGCAACATTTTAGTTGAAAAAAAAAGACGTATTCTCCCGAAGATCCTATACTCCTCACATTACTAATTATTTCAAAACAAGTACTTATGCAATTACGCTTAACATTATACACTGGTACCTCTTAATTCTATTATCATATTACTGTCATTCTATAAAATCAAAGGTCTACAGTCAGAAAAACAAATGCTGCCACCTGCTTGGACAGGGCCACTTGTAGGGATCAGTTTCCAATATCTGTTGTTTTTTTTTTGCTATTTCTTATATTTCTCAAATCCAAACATTACTTACTATGTCAGTTTGATGAGGAAAGGTCACAGACAGATGTGGTAATTCTGTTAGAAAATGAACAATAAGTTTCATCAGCAGGCTGCCACTCTCAGCTTCATAGAAGATGGCACTGCGGCACTGACGGAGCGTCAGCGTCCACAAATATTCTAAGCGTGACAACGCGCCTTCCTTGTTAAGAAGTTTTAGATGTTTCGACAGGATTTCAGCAGCTGTCTTTAACAAAATGAAAAGCAAAAAAAAATATATTCATATTTTCATATTTCTCATTTATTTACTTCTGTGTGTGGTTTAAAAAAAGGGCATGGAGATAAACCACTAATTCAGACTTTCACAGAGAGAATATGGTAATAGTTGCATTTGCCAAGCAACCACAATCATTAGATGCTCAAAAAATAATGAAAATTATGAAATATTCTGATATACCATTTGACCCTTTAGAATAATATGCAAGTAATCAGCAACATCCAATGTTTTTAGTTTCTCATATTTGTATGCATGTACAGAGTAATATACGTAGTACAGAGAAAGTGAAGTAGTGCTGTGGAAAATCGATTTCGAAATTTAAACAAATACACATTTTGAAGTCCCCTCATACCAAAAATGTGTTTTTGTTAGCAAGATCAGCTAATTCATGCATTTAAACTGACTGTGTGAAGAAGTGCGAATTTAAAAGAAAAATGGTATTTACTTTTTGGATGTCTTCAGTGGGGCACAGAACACACTCCAGCACAACATGCCAGCTCTCCTCAGTCTCAAATGCCCACATGCCTTGGCCTTTGGCCAGAGATCTAATAGTCTCAGCTGTAGAAGGTTTGTTTGTGTCACTTGGGCCGAACCGTTTTAGGATCTGCAAAGTAATGTTAATTACTTAACAAATAAATAAACAGGCCTGAAAAATTGTCTGCAAAGTTATAGCAATTGTATACAGATTTGTGTTGGGAACATTGTCTGCAAATTAATAGCTGAATTACATGGATTTCAGTGTGCTGGATTCAGCAAAAGTTATGAAAAATCTCTTCTTTGCACAAATTAGTATTTTAATTGTAAGGTCCAGAGAATAAATACATTTATATATCATGCCATTTGTACTCCTGCTGTTGGATGTCCCAACTTCGGAGAATTCTTATTCAAGCAGATTAGATCGGTATTATACAACTGCAGTTCCTTTGTTGTTCACTTCTAAACTCGACTGTCATTAACACTCATTAGACTGTTGTTATTGCAGTATAGATTGCTTTGCAGGAAGTACAGTTGCCCTGCAATTGTACTGAGTTATTTTTTCAAAGGCGTAGTAGATGACTAGTACACAAGATGACTTCAAGAGGCTGTTGTAATTGACCTGACAACTTTTGTTATACATGTGGAGAATGTTTTGTAACAAAAAATAAAGAAACCTAACTAAATTTATAAAAAACAGTTTATTATGTGTACCTCGGGACGACACTATGCGATCAAGACAAACCGTAGGCTCTTCATTAAGTATGCTGTAATTGTTTGAAAGAGCTCTGACAATGATCTCAAGAAGAAATCTTTCCATTGTAGTGATTCAATGTTATGAACAGAACCCATGAATCACAGTACCAACCCTTACTTCTGTTCTTGGAATGTAGTTTGGTACAACCCAAAAAATCCTAACGTTCAGTCTGCAAAAAATCCTGTACCCCATTGATCAGATATTCTTGTACCATCACCCCCAAATAAACTAGAAAATATACCTGGCACTGACAATTAATCCAAAAATTGGGATGAATAATCATATAAAGCTCGGACTAATGAAACAATTTGTGCAGGCTGCCAAAGAAGGAGTGAGTTTGCAGTACTTGCGCAGCAAATTTCCAGGTCTTTCAGAAGCTAAAGTATAAGGTGTTTTCATGGGTCCAGATAATTGGAGACTCTTTAAAGATAAAACATTTGAAAAAAAAAAATGGAAATTGTTCAGAAAGAGACTTGAATAGCATTCAAAGATGTGCAGAAATGTTTTGGAGCACACTAATTTTCAGCCATAGTGAACAACATGTTAAAGAAATTCAGTTCCATTTCCTACACCCTGCTCCATGAGATGTACCACAAAGTACAAGGTTAGTGAATTCTTGGAGTGATTTTTGCATCTGATCTATTTAATTTTTATTTGCAAATATATGATTCTATAACAATTGCATTTATTTCTGTTCCCATACACTCAAATACACTTTGTGGAAAACCTTACAAGATAGAAAAGAATTAGAGCTTATATTTGAAAACATACCAAATTCCGTAAACTACAGATGAAATTTCTCAAACAATTTTGGCTAACCTAAATTTTGCAGATCTGTGATATTAAAGAGAAAAGCATAATGTTACTTAAATTAATAAAAATTTCAATTTGCAATGTATTTGCCCCTTATGTGTGTAAAATAAAAGGTGAAAAATCCTCCAAATAATATAAAAGTTTTCTTCTCAAGCCGCAACGCTAATTGAAGGTCATAAATAATAGACTAAGTCTTCAAAGATAGTAAATAAGACAAAGGAGAGAATCAGTGCATATTATCGTCTCATCAACATAACCTCTGAAGATCTATGAGCATGACGAATAACTTAGCAATTTATCCAGTCATTTCAGATGCTTCTAAACGTCTCACCTCTTTAAATCAGTTCAGGAAATAATATCCAAGTAACACAATCTAGGCTCTCACACTGACAGTCCAGATCATGACTGGCCACGGAAGCCTACGACATAATTTACCCAAGTAACACTTTTTCTTCCAAAAGGTTTTATAAATGGCTTAACTAATGGTATTGATAATATGAGTTATATTACTTTGTTTAATAATGACCTACTTTCCTAGTTCACTCATTTATCATAGTACAGAATGTAGTAAATCAAACATCAATGTGATGGCGAATTTCTAAAGCAATTCATTTTGTTGATCCCTTATTACCACAGTTCACTTTTTGTAATGATTTATTTACCTTAATTCCAATTGGAAAGGTAACTTCATAGCAAATTATTGCTTTTAGCTAGACTCACAATTTGAAATGCAGAAATAGTTTGATTACAGTGCATCTCAACTTGCATTATTAAAAACCAAATATTTTTAAGAAAAAAAAGTTTCTTTCAATTCCTATTGAAATTATAATTTTTTTTCCTTTTTTATGTACATTTTCATAATTAGCTTTTTTATTTATTAATGACCTTCAGTTAAGTTTTTAAAAAATATTTGTTCATGTATTTTGTTTCTTTGCCTGAAGTTCACCGCCTAGTTAAATTTTAATACTTATAAGAAGGGTTGTGATTTATATGCATTAAGGTATTTTTTCAGTTACTTAAAGCATCTTGTTTCAAAAAATTTTACACGCTCTAAAACCACACACACACAAACACACATTATTATATTTATATTGCATATTTATAACAGCCCTACTTATTTGAATCAATTAGTCTATAATGGCTTTGCGTATCTGTTTTTATGACTTCATGTGCTCCCTTTCCTAGTCTTGCAATACTAATAGTTATATTTTCACACATTAATTCTCAGTTTTATGAGCAGTACTAAATCTTCTAGTAATGCCATCGAGTCCATCAGAGTTCCTGAACATCCAAAGTTGATGTTCTTAATCTCTACAAGGTTGAAAATTAAAGATTAAACTATCGAACACAGAAATTTAAAATATTAATACATTTGGTTCATTCTGAACATTAAATTGAAATCTTCTAATTACTTTTTTTCTATTTTTGTTTTTACTAGTGGTGAACAATCCACTAAAAGAAACTGAAAATTTCTATACATACTTTATGTGCATACACATGTTAGTACATGTGTTTGTGTGAACTTGCACATGTATGTGTGTGTGCACACATGTGAATATGCATTCAAATGTGTGTGCAAGTGAATACATGTACACATGCACGTGTGTTTGTGTGTGTGTGTGTGTGTGTGTGTGTGAGTGTGCGCGTGTGCATGTACACCTGCACGTATGTGTTTGTATTCCAAATGTGTGAAAACATTTTTAAAATACGAAAGATCATCAAATTACTCCTTGGGAAAAAGGATGTAGGCTCCAAATGTTGCTTTCTGATGATGTCTATAAAAGTTTTCATTTGACGTGGAAGCAAAACAACAAGGCAGTCTTTTGAAGAACATTTTTTATAACAATTAATTAATTTCATAACCTTCCAAAATCCTGTAACCTCGTTTGAGGATCACTGTGCTTCTCTAACAAGACGAGTGGCATTAAAGAAGTCTAGAATGCAAATTCTACAGAACATTCAGGCACTCTTCCACATGTGTGAACCTTTGAAATTGTGCTCTGTCTAAGAAATTGTTTCTGAAATTTTCCAGCAATGTTGCTATAGTATGATCAGTCTTTTGTTGTTAACATACATTAACTATTAGAATTATACAATGTAGTACATTATATCCACAATAATACTTCATGTAAATATCGCACTTTTGCAGGAGTGACCCATTTCCTTGAGTATCACTCATCCATTACCTTGAAAACAGGCCCACACATGCCCCCCTCCCCCACATACACAACTAAATGCCCATGCACCCCCAGCCCTCCTTGTCTCAACTGAAAACTGTATGTGTAGTGGTGTGAGATCTGTGTGGGTGATTGAAGAACTAGTTCCCTAAATCCAGATCTATGGCACAAGCATTGGGAGGGGCCAACAGGTTACCCTGCATGTTGTTTTGGGAGCATGGGAGGGGGAGGTGGGAAAAGTTCCCAGGGGAGACCTTGATAAGTCTTTCAGGTGCTGGCAGATGGCAGCCAGGAATAAGGCTACACAAAATCACAACTTACTCCCTAATGAAATGAACAATGGAAATATACCTATCTATTCGTTCCCACAGTTATCAAAATTTCCAATTATGAATTGCATGGCATAACACAAAAGCAAAGACCAAAGATGGCAGAGTCACAATAGAATGTTTCTCTGGTTTTGAGTCTGTAATCAAAAAGACTGAAAATACCTCTCTACATTTTCTAGTTCCCTCAAATACCCCAGAAAGAATACACATTTAACATAAAATGCGCTACTGACAAACTTCAAATGTACGAATAGGAATGGCTAAATGTGTAAACAAGTAATTTACCAGGTCAGACATTGAGATAAGGTTTTAAGAACTTTGATGTGCCATATGGCCTGCTCTTCTAACTTACCTTAGTGAAGCACAGTTTGCAATTATTATCATGTCAATAATCCTTTTAACACCAAAATAATCTATCTTATTGAAATTAATTTTCCTTAGCTTATATGAGTGCCAAAGGTAGTTTAAATGTCTAGCCCTAAAATAGAATAAACAGGACTAAGGTAAAGAGAACATAAGGGACATAAAAACTATCAATCTCATAACTACATGATGAAGTAACTCATGTTATTTTTTATATTTCTGTCTCAACAACTTTGGAGGTCATCTTGCTTAGAAAACTCAGCTGTCTTAGGCATTAGAGGACACGTCATGATAAATTGGCATCACATTAATATAGTATCATATAGGGAGGAACGAGATAAGACTTCATCGCTCTGCTCCTTTGTGCAGACATTGCTCACATTGTTGTATTGGGTGCAGTGAGTAAGTACATTTTCTTCCCAAATTAATTCTTTGCTCTGAAGCAACTTTTAGGGAGGGAAATTCCCTGTTAACAGGTTAAAATGATGAGACTTACTCCAATCAAGGTCCCCTCTTCTGGCTAATCACTACATTTTAAATTCTGAAGTTACGAGAATGGTCATACATGCCATTGCATGATTCTCTGTGATATAGGTATAAAAAAGGGATACCATCTCTGAATAAAGAAAGGAAGAAGCAGCACAAATAATTTTCATCACCCTCACTTGTGCTTGGAACTTCACATGAGATT